TGCAGAAGACACTAGAGAAAAACTGTTCCTTTTCAAAATACTCTGGGATCTGAATATCTTCTGCCAAAACAGGAAACTGTTTTCTGATATCTGCAATATCCTGCATCAAAAAGGATAGAACAGTTAGAGGAGCATGCATGTAAACTGAAATCAGGAAGCACCTGATAATCATTTCTCATTTTAGGGGAACGCAGGGCTGGAACTTCAGAAATAGCCACAGAACATTCAGCACTGGCAAAGAGCTGGAAATATTAATGTTTTTGATGGCCATCATCATTTGACTTGGTCACCAGCAATAAAAACAGTCAGAATTGTGAATATGTTTTGAGCTATGACTGCTACAAAGTGCACTGAAGCAGCAACAGACCATCAGAAAACTCTTTTATTACATTACAACACTAGCTAGAGAATGGCAGGTGAAGGCTTCAGTAACTGGCTAAGCCCTTGTATGAAACCTTATTTTAGACACTTAGGTTTATATATTCTGACCTAAATACAGTCACATTCATAGGCCAACTGACCATAAACAAGTTGTACGTGTGTACTACACAGAGAACAGATGACAACAGGCTTTTAAACTGCTATTTTACAATATCAGAACTGCAACATGAGGTAACTCACCTGCCTAGGATCATCACCCAGAGATCGCAAGTAGTACTTTTCATCCTGAACATAACACAAAAACAAAGTTATGTCTTCTAATATAAATTACATGCACACTTCAAAGAGAGAGTCTGTGATTTCTCATTGATCTAATGTAGGGATATTAAAATATGGTGCAAATAAGTGGCACTCACAACTTCACGTACTTTGTTATCCTGCCTTTTCACTACTGCTCTCTGTTGCTTATCTCAAACAATGAAAAAAAAATACATTGATTAGCTGAATGTGAAGAAGAGTGAGGTGAGAGACTTAAAATCAAAACCTAACAGCTGCTTTAATATTGCTCTTTTCCAGATGATTCAAAGCAACTATGGATTTTAACTTAAGCGCTTCAGTACATTGATGCAGGAAGCTGTAAAATAACTGGTAATCTGGTATCCTGGTAAAATAACTCATGGAAGAAACTGGAGCACTAAGGAAATTACCTCAGACAGAAAGTACTCCGTGTGTTTGGCTTCAGCTGCTCTCTGTACAAATATATCAAAAGGCAGAGTTCTGAAATATAAATATTAAAATTCACATGATGAATAAGACATGATCTAAATACAAAGTGTAAAATCATAAGCTCTCTTACCATAACTAGCATAGCCAAAAAAAAGAAGGCAAATTGTATTTTTTAAGAAAAACTAGTGACTAACCAGTGTTCGTGGTGAATGTTTGAATGTTCTACAAGATAAAAATCCTACATGTACAAACCTTTCTAGTTCAAAGTCCCTCTACAGACCCAAACAGAGTCACAGTGTATTTGTTGAGGATGAACGGGACCTCTGGAGATCATCTAGTCCAACCCTTCAGCTCAAAGTAGTGTCAGCTAGAATGGATCTTCAAGGACGGAGACTCCACAGCTCCATGATCCCCGCAGTAAAAAAAGTTTGTTTGTTTGAATGCTTAAGTCTAACTTCCTTTATTTCCACTTCCGCCCATTGCCTCTTGTTCCGTCACTCGGCATCTCTGCAAAGAGTTTGGCTCTGATTTCTTTAGACCACCCCCTCGGGCGTTTACATCCATTGAAAAGATTTTCCTGAACTTACAGAGTCTCAGTGGTTTGAGTCATGAAGAAAGATTTTTACAGTAAATTAAACTCTGGCCTCCATCTAACAGTACTTGATTAGGTAGACCTGATTGTAGGGGTTGTAGACACCCTGATATTTTCTACAAGGGTATCATTTTTTAGGCTTGGGTTTTGCCATTTCTGTAAAATTGCAGGAAAACTCAGCCCCAAGAAAACCTTTGCTGACCTAAAGGTGAGCCACCAGATCCAAAATGCTTTCAGGTATATAAATGAAAGTTGAACCTTAAGAAGACAACAGAAAAAATAAATCATGATAGAATATAATAATGAGTCGAACTGTTATACCCTGCCCATTTACACTTTCTGCTGAAAGCAAAAGAAACTGCTCGTTCCTTATACCTCTTCAGATCACATCACCAGCTGAGAGCAAACTTCCACTGCAGCTTAAACTGACACGGGCTGGTGCTGCCGCCATCTGCCCTTGCTGTCTCGTCTCCCTTATGCAAGCACTGGCATTCTTCTGAACACATGGTCAACCTGCTCACAAAGCTAAAACGGCAGGAAAAAACCCTCAGATTTCTGCACTAGCTCAAAGAGAGGTTGGATGGGCGCAGAAAACAACACAAAGAAATGAGGAGCATCATGTAACTTACAGTGGGACTTGCCGTGGTGCTCACCTCAGGTTAAAATCACAGAGCTGCCCATTAAGCTTTCGGTCCCTACTCTTCTAGGGCTACTTATTCTCTCTTCAGATTAGAACAGGAGACTTGCTGTGGAAAGTCTCCAAACTGTCCAAATGTTTTGCGAAGTATGAGAGTATTTAATTCTTAACGCATGCCAGAATCAAGCTCCAGCAAAGCACTTCCCTATACCTTATACCTACATGCACTATCAACTGTATGTCTGCTAATGTCATAGAAAGGGGCTTCATAATAAGACAAAAAAAGGGGGAGAAAGGGGAGTGAGATTTGGAGGTAGGTCAAAATCATTCAAGAAGGACCTGATTTCAAAGGTTCAAAAGTTCAGTGTTCATGCAAGCAGAACTGAGTGTGATTATGTTTCTCCCCCCCACCTTGCAAAGGTCTGTAGTTTGTTTACACGTACAGCACATGGTTCTGCTTTCTTCAGATTTTAGCAGACTGAACACATCTTGTTCCCACTTAGAGAAAACAAATGACAATTAAAATAAAGGCATTTACCCTTGAAGAACAATAACACAATAACTGAGATCAGAGGAGCTCTAAAGAAATGTTTTGGCAAGCTACATGAGAGCCCCTTCGAAGGAGACCGAGAGTCTGAAAGACCCATATCAAGATTAAAGGGCTGGTGAGGCTTGTGCTGTCTAGTAGTTTGAATGTTTTGAGGGCTGCACATGCTAACTTTGAAGAGTTTGGGTTTTAATTAGTGACACCCCTCTAGGGTAAACACACTGGAGCAGCATGCCTGCCACATGCCAGCGTTCAAAGAGCCTTTGCCACTTCGGTTGTCAGAAACTAGCACTACTCAACGACACTCAAAAGACACTACATAATTAGTGAAAAAGAGCATACTATCTAGTATCGAGTTTCTTACTTATACCAGCAAATGCCACGTTCAACTTTTTTCCAAGACTGCTCTGTCAAAATCTCTTTACATCATTTCTTCATGCTATCACGTTAAGGCTCCTCCTTTCACCCTGTAGCATTTGCTTATGGCACTAGATATTCGTGGGAAAGAGGAAAGACGGGGAGATTGGGTTTAGTTTTCCAAAGCAAGGTGCGCAGCCGGCCTCGGCCGTACCTGTACACGAAGTTCTTGCGCAGGAAATCCATGCGCGGCCCGGCCGACACGTGGATCTTCACGGCCTTGGCCCCCTCGGCCCGCCGCAGGTACTCCGCGCTCCAGCGGCGTGTGCAGGCCCCCAGCTCCACGCCTCTGAGCACCACCGGCCTCCGCTGGCGGCGCGAACGGGCGACACGGGAAAACGGGAAAACGGACAAACGCAAACGGACGGAACGAGCGGCCGTTACTACCCCTGCCCGCCGCCGCCCACACCGCCGCCGC